GCACATTAAATGTGACAACAGACAAACTTGATATGATCTGATAGAGTTCTAGTTTAAAGATGTGATACGCTTTAATCAACCTTCTAGAAGTGGCTTATAGGCGAATACGTGACTTTTATTGCTGTTCCATTCCACGTTCCTAACCTCAGAAATGTAATCAGCGCTGAGCGATCGAATTATTTAGCCATGCTTTATAACACCTTAGCATAAAGCTAATCAGAGCTTAGCTTAAATGCTTGATTTCAGGATTCTGAGCTCAAAGTATAGCAAGAAGTTTACATCAGATCTTAGATGTTCCATTCCACGTTCCTAACCTCAGAAACATATTCAGTTATGATTCACAACAACTTATTATAGCGCCACTCAGAACTTAGTTTAAATGCTTGACTACAGGATTCTAAGCTGAAAATGTAGTATGAAGCTTACATCAGATCTTAGATGTTCCATTCCACGTTCCTAACCAAAAAAAATATGAGAGCTGTACGGACTTAATAACTCAGAAATACTTGTGTCTGTTATTATGCAAATGTTCCATTTCACGTTCTTAATCAGACTTTACATGTTCTATGCCGCGTTCCTAACCTCAGAAATATAAAGAGAGCTGTGCAGGCTTAAATACACTTAAATACTTGTGCCCCATTCCAACTTTTAATAATGTTCCATTCCACGATATTAACCCTCAATCTGACTTTAGATGTTCCATTTCACGACCCGAATCAGACTTTACATGTTCTATGCCGCGTTCCTAACCTCAGAAATATAATGAGAGCTGTGCAAGCATAATTACACTTAATTCTTGTGCCCCATTCCAAATTCTTACAATGTCTCATGCCAAGATCTAAAGCCTCAATCTGACTTAAGATGTTCCATGCCACGTTCCTAACCCCAGTTGGCCTGTTCTCTAAGTCAAGTAGCCCAATTCGGAACTCTTTTACAATAGAGCACACACAGTGCCACATTTGAAAGAAACTCAAAACCAGTAGCCCAAAAAGAAATGTTATACAATTGAACGAACAAATACGCTTAATGTCGCCGTCTTATCGGGCATATGTATACAAAGAAAAGACACACAGATGTACACACAATATAGGTAGGCAGGGTAGCCGGGTAGCCGGGTAACCGGGTAGCCATTTTGTATAGCTGCCCGGGAGCTGTTCGATTTTTGGAGCACGCGCTGAGCGGTAATCGGATCGGGCGAGAACAGGTGACTCGTCGCTTTGTGTGCTGCTTGTTGACAGACACATTAGACACACGGATAAACATGCAGTCAATATATATATATGGCTATATATACTATGTGCAGATTTTGCTGGCTCAGCAGCTGCATTATGTCTGCCATGGTAAGGCGAGATTCCGGAGAATGATACCTGACCATGTGTAGGGCATCTGTGAGGCTTATAAAATTGGCTCAAAGCGGCGCCAATTGCTTGGCCAATGTCTAATTGGTAATGCAAATGGCATTTTCTTGACGAAATAGGGCGTTATCCCGCAACGTGCCAGCCATAATATGATATGATGCTATAGACATTTGATATACACACATACATACATATACATATATAGTATATATATATATGTTGCTGTGAAGGGGCTGCAAAGCGAGTCGCCCAATAAATCTATATGGCGACAGCTCAAGGATTGTTGCGATCGATAACGACAAAATTATTGACTGACAGTTCTCACGCTCATAGGATTAGGGGCTGGTAAGGGGCGGACGAGGGAGGAGCGGGTGTGTAGAGAGGCACACTTGAAATGCTGCTTCACACTTTGTCATCATCAGGCAGCTTAGTGGCAATGGCAATGGCAATGGAACTGGGCACTGGTCACTGGCTCCCTCTCCCTCTCCCTCCCTCTCTCTCTCTCTCTCTCTCTCTGTCGCTCTGCTGGTTAGAGCCTACCTGGCCGAAACGCTTTTGACTTGTGACCATTTTTTATATTTTACATCTCAGCACTTTTTGCGCCGATTCTGCGCGTTCTTCAAAAAAGAGGAAGAACAAACAGAAGAGAACAAAAAAAAGCGAAAAAAAAAACCACGTTCGTCGGGCAGATGAAACAAAAACAAAGGAGATCGGGCTTGAAGTTGGGCAAAGGCTATATGGCCAACATTTGCCGGCAATGCGAAAATCGCAGACAGCGCGGCGGCAACGAATAAAAGCCACAAACTGGAGGGGGGCAAATGGAGGGCGGAGGGGGGGGGGGGTAAGCTAAAAGTCAAAGTCCGAGTTGGAGTCAGACGAGGTGCTGGGCACGCAGACAATTTGTAGCAATCAGGCCGAGCAATGGGACTGACCAAGCACATACTCTGTATGTATATATATACTCTTTTTTACTCTCTGCTTAATACCTGGAATATTCAAGTGTTTTCTTGGGATTGAGAGTACAACTTACCGGCAGTTCATGTCGCGGCTGCTCCTGCTCCTGCTGCTGCTCCAAGCTGCTCCCGCGGCTGCCCGTGGCCAGTTGCAGCAGCAGCAGCATGCCGAGTGCAATGGGCAAACATTTCGCAAACATTTTATAGATTGTCAATAAAATTGTTAAATAATTAAGGCGCACAAGCGTATTATTGCATTATATGTATGTAGATTATATATGCTCTATATATAAAAGTTTTGGTTTTTTTTGCAATTCGAAATTCGTGGGTGGGTGTGGTAGAATAATTTGTAGTCTCTGCTTTATTTGTTTATCGATATTCGCGGCTATTTTTAGATTTAATCTTGGCCAGTTCGGTTTATAGAGATGGATATGTATACTCTATATACGCATGCGAGCGTGTTCCATTTGTTTATGAGTATTAGGGATTTGTGCTTTATATGAACTTATGTTTGGGTTCGTTTTTGTTTGTTTGTTTGTTTTTTTCGCAAAAATTATACACACTCTTGATGAAAAGCCAACACACGAGCGGACTGAAAAAGTGAAAAAGTGAAAAACCAAACCGTGCGTCGCCAAGTTTCAAATACGACTGAGACGTTCAACAGTTCAATAGGAGTAGTCGGGAATATATATACGTATATATGTATATATATTGCGGCCGAGAGTGGCCTAAACTGGCAAACGGCGAGAGAGTGCGAGCATGTGTGCGTGCGAAAGAGATGGCTGCGAGCGCGCGCACGCCGAAAGGGACAGCCAAACAGCAGCGCGAGAGCGAGAAGGAGCACAAGGTGGTCGATCGTGGTGCACACACACACACACACACACACACACACAGACAGACAGACAGAGAGTTGGTCAGTGCATTGGGCATCGAGCATGTCGATGTCGATGTCGCCACAATGTCTGGCAGTGTCTACTGCCATATCTTATCTTTATTCTTTGCCTGCATTACCACGATGCGGCTGGCCCGGACAGCGCGGTTAGCATAAAGGCCCGACAGCCCGACAGCCGCAACGATCCTCACGCACACACTCTTGCCTGTGTGTGTGTGTGTGTGCGAGTTTTGAGTGTGAAATTTATCTTCCTTTGTATATCTGAAGAGGTTGCCTCACCAACACCAACAGCTAAAACAAAACAAGCCACTGCCAGTTGTTGGGATCAGCGACGGGCGATCTCTGGGCCTGGGCCTGGGCCCCGCCGACCAGCTGTGCCTCGGCAGGCAGAAGGCAAAAAGTATACTTAAAAAAAAAAAAAGAGCAGGAGAAAAGGAAAAACGTGAGCTATGTACTTGCGCCCGACTGGAACTGGCAACTGGGAACTGGGCCTGAGACACAGCTCCTGCCTCTCGCCAGGCAGTCGCACACGTCTGTGATTTATAGAGCTGCTGCCCCAAGTGCCCGGGGCCCATGTGAAACACCGGCAACGGTGTGAAACCTGCCAGACAGTGTGACGACGGCAAACCGACGACGATAGCCTCCCCAAGCCCTTGCCCCTGATCGTGTGTGTGTGTGCATGTGTGAGTGCGTGCGTGTGTCTGCCTGTGTCTCTGCCCCCGACTGGCACCCGCCTGGCCCCTGTTTTGCCCTTTGCCCATTGTTTTCTTTTGTGGTCTTCTTTTATGGCCGAACATGCCATGGTTATCAGGGGGGAGCACGACAGCGACTGCGACTGCGACTGGCAGACAGTATGACGCCAAATTCAATACAACATACAACGATAACAAAGGTAAACAGTCCATTCAAAAGGGGTTCCAGGCAGCAACCACTCGACTGGTGTCAATAATAATAATAGCCGCAGTCCAGTCGCTGGCCAGCGATGAAGACGCATTTGGTAGCCCCGATGTAGCTGATGCGCAGCACAAAAAAAAAAGAGCCGATACCGAAACAGCTACAGATACAGATACAGATACCATACGAATAGAATTACAGATACAAAGATACAAATGCGCACACACACAGACATTACGCCCGCTTGTGTACTTAACTAATCATTTTGTGTTTGTTTTTTGTGAAGATACAATTCGGCTGAATTTATTTGTTGTAGCTACGCATTTGTATCTGTATCTGTAGCTGTGGCTGTTGCTGTGGCTGTATCTGTATCTGCATCGCTTCAATAGAATCGAATCTGCGCACTTGCAAAACAATTAAAACATTTACGAGGAAATCGAGGCATTTATTTTGGCTATGGCCAAAATTTTGAAGCGCAAAAACTTGAGCGCTAATCAAAACAAACTATGGCCAAATTAATTGGGCCAATTCTTGAAAAGAATAATCATTTTTCAAAGATTTTATGCTTATGCAGAATTCGTTGTAGTGAAATGTACAGTTGAAACATTTTCTTGATAAAAAAAGACTCAATTAGATTAAAGGGATTGGGCAGATTATATTCTATAAAGATTTGCTTTGTTTTTATAAGACAGGGCTAACCTATTTGCCTGAAGATCAGATGTCCCGTTCATATTTTATATAGTCTATATATAAATTTGGTTATCAGCGCTCTATGAATAATACCTAGGACTGCCAAATACTTCCCCCCAGGGGAACTCCCTTAGCTTGTAGCAGCTGAGACTCTGATGTTAAACCTTGATAGAGCCAAGCTTGGGCTGTATAAAAGGCAGCTGTAGCTTCTGAGCACATCACTCGCAGTTATAGAGCAGTCCACTCGGCAGCAAGATGAAATGTACCATATTCCTTGGCGTTCTGGCACTCTTCGTGTGCTTGGCCCAGGCACAACCTATCGTCCAGGAATCACTAGCCGACCAGGAGCCCTGGGCAGTGGAGCCCGTGCCGGATTTCCACAGCCGTCAGAAGCGTGCCACATGCGATCTGCTGAGCGGCTTCGATGTGAATCACTCGGCCTGTGCAGCTCACTGTATTGGCCTGGGCAGGAGTGGGGGTTATTGTAATGATAAGGCTGTTTGCATCTGTCGACGCTAAAGTACTTATATTGAAGGATTCAATAAAATTGCAATTATATTCAATTTAATTAAAGCGAGTTTTGATAAGAGAAGCACCTAGTTCTATATGTGTGGGTTTCATTGAAAGTCCTTTGACTTAACCCAACCAATCTGGGTAAGATTCGTATTCCTGCTCCTGGCAGGTGGCTTAGCCCCGAGAACAGCTTGTAAACCTCAACAAACGTGCCTCGATATAATCATGGCTACGAGTTCCGATATACAGCAAGTGATTCACACAGTCAAAATAAAGTTATATTGACTTTGTGCATATTTGAGCAGCCATAAAAGTATATATATAAATATATATTCAACTGGAGACTCAGGTGAGTCCACCCATAGGAATAACTTTGAAAAAAATCACCTTTTGAAAGTCCCCCAATTTATCTGAATGACATAGACTACGTTTCGGCTATAAAAACTCTTGTTACATTGTCAATCATCACACTACACACGGCCTAACCCAGCAGCTGCATAGAAGTCCTAGCCAACTAAAGGAAAACTCATCCAAAGTCACAACAATGAAGTTAACCATGATCCTAAGTGTGCTAGTTGTGCTGGCATCCTTGGCCCTGGCACAGCCTGTAACGCCAGAGCCAATAGAGCTCAAGGATCTAGAGCCGACCGACGGACGGGCTGCTCAGGAAGTGGATCAAGCAGAGACCGACTCCGAAGGGCCATCAGACGTAGAGGCAGCTGTTGCCCAACTCTTACGCCAGGAGGAGGCACAGGATGTGGCGGCAACCGAGTCACACAGCCGCCAGAAACGCGCCGCCTGTCGTTGCTACAGACGTGCTCGCAATACTATCGTATGCTATTGCCGATAGAGGGCGTCTTTATAGTAAACCAATTACTCACATAAATATATCAATATTAAATGAAAATAAAAAATAAATAAATATTTGTACATATAACCATGAATCATTCAAGTTGTACGTATAAACTTCGTATTGCAATATCAATTACAGAGTCAATATATGCACAACAAGATGTGTTTACTACAACTAAAATTGCACCATTTCCCACCTGTCGCGATTTTTAAAAGTAAATCAGGCAAGAGTTCTCTGTGTTGCCATATGGCAGCGACTGGGCAATAAATAACGTTACTCGCCCATAGAGGGAGCCAACACGCGTTTTGTTTCAATTAATTATAGTTTCACGAAATTATAGTTTAAAGTTCAAAACAGCTGTAGACAGCGCAACTTTGACGTAGAAACGTGAAATGTCTGTGATTTGTTTACTTTTATACTTTTCACGCTAATTTATTGTTTATATGAATTTATATGAAATTAATGAGCATGCTTATCGCATTCGCCAACTAACTGTTGTGGGTCAGAGCAGCACGTCAGATGTCAACCACGCCGGCTGCAGAGATCAGGAAGGGGGAATGAAATGATAGCAAAAGTCGATTTCATTCTTAAAAATTGTGAAATTTCGCAAAATGCATATTTACTAATCACACATTAAATATAGCTAAGCAAATACAAAACAAATATAAACGCGCTCAACTTGTGTAGATCTGCCACTGAACTGCGCGCACAATGCTTATTCTTATCAATTAAATGAATAAACACAACAACAACAACAACAGGAGGGAAGAGTGTGAAGTCAACGATGCTCATTGCACAGTCTGCAATACAAACAGCAAAGCATGAAGCAGACACACGCTCAATTAACGCCAATTATACGTGATCTCGAAACGAAATTGTTAATAAAAAATTATTGGAATTAATACAGAATTACGAGTGGGCTTTAATTTACAAATGCGTTAAATGTTCTGTTACACCAACAAACGAAACCGGCCGGAGCAACAACAACAATTACTGATTTTTTTTTATTATATATTTCTATTGTACGCAAATAGTGTTTGCCTCGATAGCGTCTCGAAGAACCGCTCGCGACAGTTTCTTCATTTACACTGACACTTTGGTTATCAGTATTGCGCATTTCAAACATATACTAGTTATCTTTAATCTCAAGACACAAACGTAGGAGAACCTCGAGAGACGGATTACTTAAGAGAATGAAACTGTGCCAGCAATTAAATCGACAAACATGCCGCCAACAATTTAAATGTTCGCATGAAAAAACGAAAATATAAATCGATTAAAATGAATAAATAAGTTATCGATAATGTTAAGAGCATCATCATAAGGGAGAGTGAGAGAGGCAGCTGGTAAATTAAAATTGAAGCCTCATTTGAATATTATATTTCAAACCCAGAATTGACAGATTGCACATCTTGCTATGAACTTATAATGTTTAAGTTTTATAAGTTTATTTAATTTGAAAAAACTGTTACTGACTTTACAGCCCGGCTAAAAAAATGCTCGCTGTTAATAACAGTTGAGTAAAATGTTAAGTTCTGTTGTTTAACATAAAACGCAACTGGTAAACTTATGTTTTGTTGTTAATTGGAGAAGAGAGGCAATAAACACCTATATTCTTATCTCCTAAGTACATGTGGCCAGCTAAACATTTGAGTACCATTTTTAAATCAGTTTGTTAGATTGACGTCGCTTTAGCTGTCGCCACAATTAGTCCCAGTGTTTCAATTATCATACGGGCTAGGCACATTTCAAATTGCTTGCGTTGTTGTGCTGACGTGGTGTAAATAGTTGGTGCCGGTGAATTTGATTAAAGTAAATTAAATAATTGTTAAATAGTTTTAAATTATGTCCGCAATGAATGTGATTCTGTGCTGTACCATGGTGCTGGCCATCGCCCAAGTGCAAGGCTACAGCTTCACATCAAAAGAAGTCAAATGTCATGGTAAGGAAGAAAAGCGGACAACCTGTTGGCATCTAAAGCGGACCCTACGATTATTTCAGTGTGCAAGGCGACGGTGCAGGAACTGGAGGACGCCATTGCCAAGGAGGATGCCAATAAGAAGGTTGATGTTAGCGGCTTCCGGCTGGATGCCCAAGGCAATTCCATTAGCAAGCGTGTGCGCTATATCAAATCCGAGATGTTTTTGACCGAGCTCATGGAAAAGATCTGTGAGTGGCTGACACAGCCGTAGACACCCAATGTTGTACCAAACTAACCCTCTTTAACTTCGCAGGTGAAAAAATGGATGACTATCTGAAGGCCACCTACAAGAGCAACGGCAAGTTTACTCTGCTCAAGATGATAATCGATGGCAAAATGAATTCCGAGTCGTCACTCGTTGATTTTGTACAGGATGGTGACCTCAACAAGAGCCTGGGTCACTTCTGCCTGGAGGTGCTCGAAGACAACGAAGAGGCATTCCTGAAAGCATTCCAAGCCGAAGAGCTGGGCAACGACTTGGATATCAAAATCTGTTCGGAGCAGGCCAACTATTGCGATGAGGCGCCCGTCCAGGAGGACTACGATTTTGGTGGCAGGGAAGAATTGTAATTCCTAGTCAATTGAGATGTAAGAAAACGAATTTCCATGATCATCATTGTTATAAAGCGCCTGCAACAGGCGGCCCAATTTGTACTGAACGAAAATTTTAATTTTTTACGCGCCAACCACAAACAATTTAAAACGACAATAAATATGAGATGTGCAATTCCCTCCACATGAAAACTGAGGTTTTTTATTATGATACGATGCAGGTCGAATGAGTTAACTCCTTTATTATATTATAAATGCGAGCGGAATTTAAGTAGTAATCGTAGAGACTTCATGTGCATGTTTTACTCCCCTTCAGCGCTGTAGAAATGCATTAGTCTTTTATTGTTTATCCAGCAGGATATGCAAGTTAACGCTTACGGTTCATCATCCTTCACATTGCGTAGCATTTGATGACGCACAACCAGCCATGGAGCACCGAATCCAAGAGTGCCAAGCACAAGCCAGAACAAAGTAAAACGCATGGGGCTATCCATTCCCTTGCGAAAGGGCAAGTTCTGTGGCGGCGTATTTTGAATAGACTTAATGATTCACAGCTTTAACCACTTACCAAGCCCGGAATACCACCGGGATGACCGGACATTTGACGAACAAGCGGTACGCACATTTTGCGCACCTCGGCGCGTAAAGCAAACATATTTCAATAAACTTTTGCCGTTTTCCACGTTCTTCGATGATTTGTAAAAATATTAGAATTTGCGTACCGATCGACACGGAATAAAAATAGTGTCTGAGAACTTTTGTATGCTTACAAAGTCGACAGGTTTCTAGAGTTTTCAATGCCTACTTAAAATTAAGGGAAACTGCGCACTTTCGGTCTTTAGTTTCTGGGCAACTTTATTACGTTTAAACTTTTGACTTAATTTAAAGCTGTAGCACAATGTACGATACTGCGGCTACAACAAACAACAACGAAATCTGCAAGTGATCATCAACACTGAAATATGCGATCAATAATTGGTTGATAAAACTAACCTTACATTTTGCATGTTGTTGTTGTTGTTGCTGCTGCGGCTTTTGGGGGCTGCTGTGGCCACTTACTTCTTCAACAGCTGGTGCCTGACGATCAGGAAGGGGGAGCCGAAGCCCAGAACACAGCCGATGGTGAACAGCGCGGTTATCCTATATTTGTTATGCAGTCCGAAGGGCAGGTTCTATAATTTAAACAGTTGATAGGCAGTGATATCATCGATTTTCCTTCAGGATTACGTTTCAGGTGCAACACACACAAATTATGTAACCACACACCGCGACTTAATCGATCGTTGCTTACCTCACCGGGAACACCGCCATGGCCGCTGAAGCGCACCATCGACTGGGAGAAATTGCGTGCAATTACACTGCTGCGGCCCAACATATTTATTGATTTTTTAAACTTTTATTTTTTGGTAAATTGCAAGCGCAGAGTTTGTTGGTTGCCTGAGGAAAAAGTGTGTACACAACTAAAAATCTAGCAGCGATAATTGAGCAGCTATAGCTATCGATATATCGGAAGCCACGAACAGCTGCGCTGCATGCGATATACTATCGATAAGAAAATATCAGCACAATTGAGCAGCCAAATTCATATCGTAAGCGCCAAAATTTGAATTTGGTTTGGAATATCAATGTTTTATTTGCTTCATTTTGAAAACTTATTGCTAAACATTTACAAATAGATTTTGACAGCTAATCAGCACCAACTAAAATAAAAAAGACTTAAAGACATAATAAAACGTAACAAATACGGCATAACGAACGGCTGGGGAACAGTTTTGGTCTCGAGCACTTAACTAAACTTAAAGGGGGACGGTGTTTAGCTGGCGAAGAAACATCTGTAGAGCATATATAGAATGCCAAAGAGCCACATGCCCTTGTACAGCTTGTCCACGAACCACATACTGTAATTTGAAAATATTATATCACCCTGCATAATTAAAGAAATTCAATTGTTTACATTTTCATGTGTCGCCTGGCCGCCGGTATAGACTCATCCGATTCCTTGAGGATCAGACGACGCGCGCACAACACACAGTTGGTGAAATAATCGATTAGATCCAGATCAATTTTCTCAATAACATATGTTTTTCGTTCCTTGTTATTCATTAGCTTGCGTAATTTAACCGCTTCTGAATTGTCAAAACTCCACACATTATTGGCATAGTACTCAAACACTTCGAAACCCTTGGAGATGCGGTTCTGGACACGACACAGGCTGTGGATTCGTTTTGAAAATAACTATAAAGCGGCTTCACTAAATGATTTTGTGCACTTACACAGGCGGATAGCGTAAAAGCAATAGCAATGCGTCCACAAACAAGGCCGGCATCCATTGGAAGAGTATCATGCAGACGTAGTGCACCCAATAGTTGGATTTCATGGAGCCACCCGGATACCAGGCTACACCGTTTAAGGGCACCTTGTTCTCAATAACCCAACGGCCCAGCTCGATAATCTCTGCCCAGGAAACCTTAATGTCATTGGATGAGGTCATGTGCGCGACACGATTCGTGCTATC